AAAAAAAAAAAAAAAAAAAAAAGTAACATTTTTATTTCCTAACAGCCAGCACAGCACCTAAGGAGGGATTGCAAACTTAATATTTTAATGAATATAAAACTAAAAAGTAGTTCGGAAATGTAAAGTGATATGAAAAATGCATCTTTCAGAGCCCAGAATTGAATCCTTAGGATTATAATTTCTTCACACTTTACATATCCTTTATGTATAGAATGATTCATCTAGCACGTGCTGCAGTTAGCTAATTTCTGTCGATTTTTTAAGAAAACCGGGTTATAAAGGCTTTTGAAAATACCATTAATGAGTAAAATATCTTTAAATAATTGTTCAAATAATCACTTGAAAATCTATTTAAGTATCTTACTAGTGTCTTTTAATCAGAGAACTAGAAAAATCCATTCTACAAAAGGAATGGTATTAAATACTATTAATAATTATATAGAATGGTGATAGGTGATAGATAATAATTTTTAAAATAATATTTGAGTGTTTCCCAGATGCAAGGTAATGTTTTAAGCATTATGTTTGTTCCCTTTCTTCATTACAAAAATCCTGAGTTCTGTTTTTATTAACCTAATTTTACCAATGAAAAGGTGAGGCACTGAGGGTTGGTGACTTTCCCAGTCAGTCTGGTTCCAGGTTCGGTGTCCTTAGTCACTAAAGGGGTATGAGTTACAGAGATGGAGAAACGATGGGAGGTGGGGAGCAGAGATTGAGGTGGAAGAGAGACCAGCAATGACTATCATAAAACATTCAACAAAAGCTTTGATTATGTATGTATCAATATAAATATACCCAAAAGAATATTATCCTTCATTTCATACTCAACAAACCAGAGTGTAGCTTAATAACTCGTACAAATCAGAGACGAAAATTGATTTTGGCTCACTTTATGACTGACTCGAACCCATTTCCAAATAAACACTAAGTTCTGTGAAGTTGTTCTGCTGTATTCAGGGGAACTGGAGAGAGCAATGGGGGCCGCCAGTCCCACTCCATAACCACTGAAGCCTCCTCTCTTCCCCTCAGTTGGGAGGCTCAGTGTACCCTTGTGTTCACGCTCCCCAATCTGGCCCTGCTTTGAGCGCTAGGAAAGGGTCTTGCAGAAATCATTTCCTCTCCCAGTGACAGCCTCACCACCTGGTGAGTTCAACACCAACCTTACAGAAGAAATCACTCGCTAGAAGATTATAAGGCTCTTTGAAAATTGAGGCCATACGCTATTAAGTACATGTTTACTAATTTTTTTGTAAAGATTTTAGTTGTGCCATTTTAGAAATATTCAGTTAAGGAAAGGACCAATAAAAAAGTCTATCTTGCTCTACGCTTGTGAAACGTACTAAGACTTGCAAGGCTAAAATGAACCCATTCAATTACTTCATTTTGGATATGACTTTGTAACCAAATGGTAAATTGGACATTAGATTTATATGTCTTTGGCCTGATTTTCTGACTGTTCTTTGTTGGCCACACAAGCAGCCAAAGCAGCTCTCCAGCTTTGTTTTTTATTTGTTTTTCAGCTCACCCCAGGAGTCTCTGTTGTACAAATAAGAGCCTCCAATGAGACAAATTTCATGGACTAGATCACATGATGTTATTTTTCTCTCAGGGCAATTTATGTGTCCATATTTCTTCTATCAGGGTGATTCTTGGATACTTCAATGATAGCTGGAATTACACAGGTGATAGATAATTCAGTAACATTCTCAGGTTTCACTTTTACTCTAGCTGTTTTGCCATAGCCATGATTTCTAATCCAATGGCTTCATTGTTTCTTATTCTCTCCAATTTGAAGACTACAAAAAAACCACGTGAAATAGTTGAAAGTACAGGAGCAGCGATGTACTTCAGCTTAGAATACCTTGGGGCTTTATCAGAAGAGAAAAAAATATTTCAGTGCTAGGACAAAATCATTCTCCCTAAACAATTATTTTAGTCCCAAATGGCCATGGAGAGTTTTCATACTATATAGTGCATTGTCTTCCCCCGAAGTGCGTGGTTTCCTTCAACACAATGAGCTCCTTGTGCTTAGTTCGTGTGCTGTCTGGATTTAATATATTTCTCTCCCAGCAGTGTAATAACTATAATTTACATCACTTCCTGTTTAGTCTAAATTCACCAATGAACGCCTACACAGCTCATACACTTGAATAATTGTCTATTTCTGAAATAAATTGCATTTTCCTTGAACAGGAACAACTTTTACATGATCTTTTTTCTTTTATAGATCCACCATGTTGAGTGTGTTTGTGTGTGTGTGCGTACATGTACAAAAGAGAGAAACCCAGTTTTATGAGGCCATGTTGACATCAGCAATATTTGCTGAAAACATTTACTCAGGAGAGCCCCAGAATTGTTTAAATAGGCCTATAGTCATCAGAATCGCCCCCTTTTCTCTTATTGTAGCTGCAGTTCACATGCACAGATTGCAATCCATTGTCTTGAAGAGGATTGCAAGGCACAGAAGGTCTGTGCCATGAGCTGCTGTTCTATCCCAGTCCCTCAGAGCTTTCAGTCTGTACCAAAGACCCAAGCTTGTCCCAACATCTCAAGGGCAGGCTTGACGCTGCCTCTGGCTGCTATGCCCTCTTGAACTTGGCCATTACCTGGTCATAAGGTAGACGTGGCCGAGGAGTGTTAAACATTATTGATCATCCCCAGGGTCCTGAAAGCTTACGTCAGTGTGGCCGGTGCATTCTGTTGCTGAATTAGGGCCTGTGTACCTTCCTTCACCCTTCGTGGCTGATTTAGAGCCATTTCTTTGTACTGTGTTCAGCATGAATGAATCCAGTCATTTGAGCACTGATATGGACTCTTTTGTGTTATGTGTACCAATATTCTGCATTATACAAGTGAATATTCAAATTATATTTGATATATCTAAAACATGGAAGAAATGGTTAAGAAATTACTTGAAGTCTGTGTATTCTATTCAACCACTCAAATCTATGTTCTTATGATTACTGATAACAATTTTTATATACATAAAATAAGGAAGAGCACGTTTGAGTTATTACTCTGTAAAAAGATTATACTAATTGATGTGAGGCATAAAGTTTTGTACCTAAGACATAGTCCCTCATCTAAAGTAAGTTATTATATCCTATTAGGGTAGATCGATACATACGCAATTTCCCTAGTATAAACGATAAATGGATAAGCACCACCAGAACTGGCTAAAGCATAATGGAAGTTTAAGGGTGGCGAGAGTAGCTCTGTAACACAGGTAATCAACCAGCCCCTGTGTCCCCTGAGATACACATTGTATGTAGATAACGTTCCCATAAGCAACAACATTGTCCACTTTGATCTGGAGAAACAGCAGAATACGCCGTGAAAAAAGAATGAATGGATGAACCGCATTTGGAAGATGTCAAATCCCTGTCCTCTGTGTTGCAGCAATTGTCAAACAAACAAATATAGACAATAGTCTGTATTTGAACAAATCCACATTCCTGTCGCTTATGCCTCAGCATATGTGGTTCCCCTGCCTTGAACATCCTTTTCTGTGTGTCTACCTGGTGAATTCTAAATTAAACTTTACCTTCCCTCCCTGAATCCATTGTCCATCTAGATAAGAAGTGGTCAGTATTTCCTCTTGGCCCTTAAACACACCTAAATATTGCCCTTGTAATGTGGTAAGTAGTTATTTGCTGGATTGTGAGCTGTTTGAAAGTAGAAATTGTGCCTTATTCATCTTTGAATCCACAGATCCTAGCATGTATTAAGCATTCAAAAAAAGTGATAGTTACATAAATGATCCAAATAATAGATAAGATTTAATAAGGACTCTGTAATCTGAAAGTACAGAGATTACAGAAATCTAAAAGCTAAATTCTGGCCAAGTGTGCTGGCCCATGACTGTAATCCCAGCACTTTGGGAGGCCAAGGCAGGAGAATTGCTTGAGCCCGGTAGTTCAAGACCAGTCTGGGCAATATGTTGGGACCCCCATCTCTTCAAAAACTAAAAAGAAAATTAGCTAGGCTTGGTGTTGCAGGCCCATAGTCCCAGCTATTCAAAGGGCTCAGGTGAAAAGATCATTTGAGACCAGCAGTTCAACGCTGCACTCCGGCCTGGACCACAAAGCAAGACCCTGTCTCTAAATAAAATAAAACAACATAAAGCTAAATTCTGGAATTTGGACTTTATTATTTATGCAATATGAAGTTGGTGATATTTTTATTTCTAAAAATGAATGTTCTAGTAATTTTTTTAAAAATTAGGTTATATTTTAGAGGCACCCACACAAACATATTTTCTTAAGCCTAATAATTGATAATAACTAATATATTCACATGTCAAAATTATTATCAGTGGGAGGCTTATTATCAAACTGTAAACTTTCCCTGGAATTTCCCTGTCTATACGCTTTATGATTAAGTATAAAAGTCCTTTATTTTATCCAAAAGTTTCTGATCTAACTTTCTGCCAGTGACCACACTGATTATCACCAGATTACTGTCTCATTATTTCAATCCACAAAGTCTTATGCCAATTAGAGAAAAAATACATTTCATTTATTTGACACTTTTGCATCTTTCAGAAGAAAATCCTTAGGACAAATTTACATTAGGAAAGTGCTGAACGGTTACTGTACCTCACATGTAGGTCGCTATTTATAAATGGCTTTCCTTTGATTATTTGATTATGGGTTGGATTTTAGAAACATACGATAAAGAATTGTGAAACTTGGAATGGCAGCTGGTGTACGGAATTCACTGCAATCAGAAAAAAATTGTTTTCTTCAAGTAAAAAAAAAAAAAATGTTGCCTATCACTCTTGCTGAGTAGGTAGAACTGTCCTAGTCAGAAATGTTTTTCTGAAGTCATAGCATTCACATGG